CTATGCACGTATTGTCCAATGGCGCGAGCGACGCTTTGTGTAACCTTCGAAGGACGTCCATTCCCTTGAATTTTTTTAAGGTTATAGGTGACAGTACGAAGAGGAATGTTAGTTTTTTTGATGTATCTCTTTGCGGATTGGACGCCGCTAAGCCAGTAATGGAGAATTGTTTGTCGCTGTGCCTCTAGTCTAGAGTTGACCATGATTGTAAAAGGGCGGGAGAGTAAACAATGGGTTCTGAAATTTATATCTTTAAAACACGTTCACTGAAATGGTAACTAATTAAAAATAAAGACGCGTTTACGATAAACAACGCATCGCTTTGTTTATTTACAAAATAATTTCGATTGTCCAAAGGCAATTATTTTCGTTACACATTGTAATTTCTATATATAGAAACTGTGAACAAGTGCAGCAGGTAAGCCCTTTAACTCCCTGTTCATTGTGAATAAACATAACACTCTATCGCTCTCCAGCCTCAGCTTCACCTTCACCCACTTCTGCTGGACCTGCTTGCGCAGGCGCACCAGCACGTTTTTTACTTGTCGCGCTTACAATGTCGTCCACTCGTAAAAGTAACGAAGCGCTCTTAAAAATTAGTTGATATTGATTCCGATTAAAATTTAATTTAAATATTCTGTTATTAAAAATTACAACAAGACAAACCTCAATTGCCGTTTTTATTGTTTGTACTTTTACGGCATTTGGTTCCCAAATACCATATTCGTGCATATCAACCACTGTGCCATTAAGACCATCAATACCCCACGAGTGATTTCCTGTTGCATGTTTTGCCTACATAAAATTAAAGAATGTAGAAAATAAAAATAATATAAAAAGAAATAAAGAAAAATTAAATCTATAAATACCCTCAATTGTGTCAATACTTTAATGGCATTAGCACCACAATTCTGTATCAAAGTTCTCGGTATAACTTCCAGTGCCTCGGCAACAGCTCGATATGGCCATTGCTCTATTCCTTCCAAAGTTTTTGCTTTTTCCGATAATTTAACGCTAACTGCCATCTCGGTAGCACCACCTCCTGGTGCTAAAAATGGATTAAAGAATACATTCCTGGCAACATTCATCGCATCTTGAAGGTTGCGTTCTACCTCATTTAGAATGTCTTTAGATGGGCCTCGGAGAAGAATTGTGCATGCTTTGGGGTTTTTACATTTTGTAAGGAAGGTGAAGTATCTTTTTTTTTTTTAATGATGAAATAGATGAGAGAGATGAGAAAAAGGTGAGTTTCTTAAGAGAATAATTAATAAAATATAATAAAATTTTCTAAGTACTGACTCATCACCAATCTTTTCTATTTTAAATAAACCACATCCTGTGCCCACATCTGATTCTCTTAGATCATCAACTCGATTAACAATCGTAGCACCAACGGCACGCGCAATACGATTGTTATCTGTTTTAC